GGCCACCCCTGGGGCTGCAGGTACCTCTTACGAATAACTCTGCCAAGTTACAGCATATTCAGAGCACTATAGCTCCTCTCGTAGTCTTCTGATCTGTGTGCAAGAAAGTACCTGTCGATCATCATTGCATAACAAACAATCTTAACATTTTACAAAATTGCTCCAAGAACATTTCCGATGGAAGGTAGGGTAATAGTGTCCCAAAGGTAGGGTAAGTATGTCCATGGTTATATGAAACTAGTCTCTATGGTAGGGTAATGTGACTCTCCTAGACAGGATAAACTTTTCCAGCCTTCCAACCTATCCTTAGACCGGAGTAGACATAGTCACATTACTTTTGCTACTTAGGTATATCTATTCCTTAAGTACCTTCTATTCTTCAGGATGTCCTGATCATCGGATATCTCTTGAACATGTGCCAGCATGCCCACCTAGTCTACCATCTGATCTCTTAGTCTTATGTATGGGGGTAGACATAGGTTGCCATAGCTCTATAATGTAGGGCCATTACAAATATCTATTTCTTGTTAGTCAAATTTTTTTTTTTAGTTTATTGAATATTCAACAGAAAATGTACTGTTAGGCAGAGTTGATTATAATTACATGGTCTCAGAATTTCATAGTAGTGTAGACTTAGTTATGGTTTGATATTTTCAGATATTTTCTTGTTTTCTTTTCATCTTATATTCAAATATTTTATATGGCTCTCTTCTTTGTTACTATTTTCTTTGACTGCATTTGTTTTTTTGTTTTTTTGTTTTTTTATTTTTATTTTATCTTTTATTTTATTTGTTATTTTGTTTTTCCATCCTCTGTACCATTTGAGAATGAGTTGCTAGAGGTGATAGGAGAGATAGGTATATTTCATTGTTGTAACTATAGTTAGATTAAAAAATTGGAGATTATTAGATTGTACACAATGAGATAGAGTTGCAGTACATAATAGAAGACTATTAGTTTAGCTGTACTTATAGAATTTAGGATAACAGATAAGCAGAATGGGAACCTGAGTATTATGATACTAAATAAAAATATTGTCTTTGTTATAGTTAAGAATTAAAATCTTCAAGTTGGTGGTATAGAAAGAAGAAGAAATTAATTTAAGAAAAAGTAAGAAGTAAGAACTTAGAATAAGTTAAATCTTTTGTTTTAGATAGGTTAAAAATAGTATAGTAAAGAGAAAAAATAGAGTTTTTTTTAAAAAAATTCTATGAACATAGCCCTAATTTTAAATTTTCTATGGTGAGGATTGGGTGGGCTGAATGGGTATATAAAGGCACCATCCCCCCAGTTTCTTCCTTCCTCTCTTCTTCTTTTTTTCTTCTCTCAATGCAACAAACAACACAATCACAACCACCATCTACTAAGAGGACTGGAAGGACAACAAGAACTAAAGGACTAGAAGGACTTCAAGAATACTAAGGACTCCAAGGACTTCAACAACCTAAAGGACAACAATCGAAGCACGAATCAGCAAAAGTTCAACAATTCTGGACCAGGGATAGGATGGGATGGAAAGATAAGATGGGTTGAGGGTGAAAAGGATTGGAGGGTTGAAGAGTGAGATGGAGTAGAGGATCAGGATAGGATTGA